TCTCGAGCACAGGAGAAGAGGATACCCGACTTGGAGGCTGAACGCTTTCTTCTTTAGAAGGAGCTCGAGGACTCGAAGAATGATGCCCAGAGAGCTCGAGAAGAGGCTGGAACTGCTAAGGGCGGGACCGAAGGTTTAAAGCTCGAGATCGAGCGTTTGAAGGTTGATTTTGAGACTCGCCTGGCTGAAGCTCAAGGGGTTGCGATCGAGGACTTTAAAACGTCCGAGGAGTTTAACGGCCTTAAGGGAGAGTATGCCATGGGCTCGTACTTCCATGCCTTCAAGGAAGCTCGGACATTTTTGAGATCGAAGCCCGACGCTAACCCCGAGGATCTAAAGAACATCCCCGAGATTGCTGATACCCTCGAGCTGTCAGAGTTCGAGGAAACCGTCGAGGACCAAGAGGTCGATGTTGACGGCGAGGACGCAGTGGAGGAGCAGGGGAGCACAGCCTCGGGAGAAAGGGCCGAGGACTTAGATTAGTTTTGTTTTTTCGTATGATGATAGCCCTTCCTTTTTGTAATTTGAACATGTTTTTTACTCGATCAACTATTTTCCTTCTGCTGTGTATTGATATCTCGATCATTCAAATAGCCCCGACGTAAGATGGTTAAATAACTCGACGCCTAGAGTAGTTGGGAACACCTCGAGGACCTAATTTGTGAAAATATTTCTGAATATTATAACGTACACAAAATTCATCCCGAGGACTAAATAATAAAATTATCTTGGAACATCCAAGTGTGAACCCCGAGCACTAGACAAGTTACCCCCCCGAGGACTAAATAATAAAATTATCTTAGAACATCCAAGTGTGAACCCCGAGCACTAGACAAGTTACCTCGACGACTAAAGAAGATTAATTATTTTCGACGACTAATTAATCATCTCGACGATTGAGAATAACTCAATTTTTAAACAAGTGATAATGCCGAGGACAGTGTAGTTTTCTACACACTTAACACTCGAGGATTAATTTCAAGGGATGGTAGTCCCCGAGGAGTACGAATACTTGTGACCGACCTCTGTACATGAGTTATCCCGAGCTTTCATTTTCAGGCTTGGACAAAAAATACAAGGATATATGGTCGGGATGTATGTCCTCGGTATTTACTACTTGTGCTGCACTATTTTGATGTGCTGATTATGAGCTCCAAGATTTTGGCGCTTGCTCGAGGCAAGGCTTACATTGGCTTGTCAAGGACAAGACTTACATTGGCTGGTCAAGGATAAGGCTTAAAAGGGGCTTGCTCGAGGGCAAGGCTTACATTAGCTTGTCAAGGACAAGGCTTAAAAGGGGCTTGCTCGAGGGCAAGTCTTACATTGGCTTGTCAAGGACAATGCTTATATTGGCTTGTCAAGGACAAGGCTTAAAGGGGCTTGCTCGACGCAAAGCAAACTATCGGGCTGATATACCCGGGGTTTGGATTTATTAATTGTTTGGACTGGACTTGGATTTATATATTGCATCCAAGCTGCCTACGTACCCAAACGGGATCAAGCCGAACGTAGTTCATTACAAAAGAAAATGAAAAACATGCATGGGCTCGCATGCCCGCTAAACTAGAAATAAAGTGCAAGGACACGCAGGCCCGAAAAACCAAAAATAACATGCAGAAAAAGAAAATCTCAAAAGAAAATCTCCTAAACGGCATCGGGAATGTTACTTGTAATATATTTTTAGATTGTTGGCATTCCAGGACCTCGAAAGAGGACTACCCGAAGTGTCTCTTAGGCTGTATGCTCCTTTGCGAACCTGTCGTATGACCTCAAAGGGCCCTTCCCAGATGGGCCAGAGCTTCCCTGGGGGGTGGCCTGCTGCTTCGGCCCTCCTAAAGACCAAATCGCCAGCTCTGAACCTCCGAGCCCTGACTTTGCTATTAAAATATTTTGCTGTCTTAGTTTGGTAAGAGGCCACTTTTATAGCGGCTTGCTCCCGTACTTCTTCCAAGAGATCAAGATGTTCAGTTGTATGCTCCGAGATTTCTGGCACGAGTCTCCTATGGCTTGGCAGTCTAATTTCCACTGGGACCATTGCTTCAATGCCATAGGCTAACATAAAAGGGGTTTCTCCTGTGGTTGTCCTATGAGTTGTTCTATACGTCCAAAGTATGGAAGGCAGCTCGTCGGACCAAGAACCCCTAGCATCGCTTATTCTTGTTCGGAGGTCTTGCAATATGATTCGATTAGTTACCTCGGCCAGACCATTGCTCTGAGGATGCGAAACTGATGTTAGACGGTGATCAATCCCAAGGTTTGAGCACAAGTTTCTAAACTGTTGGTTGTCAAATTGCCTGCCATTGTCGGTGATGAGGACCTTTGGTATCCCAAACCTGCAAATGATAGACCTCCAAGTGAAGGCTCTTAGCTTGGGCTCCGATATTGTGGCGAGAGCCTCGGCCTCTACCCATTTTGTGAAGTACTCAGCAACAAACTTTAATTGACCTCTTGCCATAGGAAAGGGGCCGAGGATGTCAACTCCCCATTGTTCAAACGGGGCCGAACAGTTAATGTTGGTGAGGTCTTCGGCTGGTGAGTGGATAACATTACCAAACCTCTGGCACCTATCACATCTTTTAACATATTCTGAGGCGTCTTTTTTCATAGTTGGCCAGTATTATCCATATCGTACGAGTTTAAAGGCCAAGGCCTTGGCTTCTTGATGATTCCCGCACACCCCTTCATGAACTTCAGCAAGGGCCTGGGATGATTCTGATGGCCTGAGGCACCTTAGGTATGGAAGAGTAATACTTCTGCGAAAGAGGACACCGCTGATCATACAGTACCTAGGAGCTCGGGCTCTGATGCTCCTAGCCAACCTGGCATCGCTTGGTAGATTTCCATTTGTGATGAATTCTATGATTGGGTCCATCCAGGATGGTTCGTTGTCAATGTCCATGATGTCGAAGATTTGACTGATGCTGGGGTCTGTGATGATTTTAATGTGAACTGTTCTGTTAAGGCCGTCTACCCCCATGAACACAAGCCTGGATAATGTGTCGGCTTTTCCATTGTCCTTTCGAGCAATTTTTGTAATTTCACAGCTCTTGAATTTTCGTTGAAGATCCTGAACCTTCATACAGTACAAACTCATTTTCTCCTCCTTTCTTTCAAATGATCCTTCAATCTGTCCGACCACTAGCTGTAAATCACTGAATATCTTTACGAACTCGAGCTCTAGGCAAAGTGCTAGCTCAAGAGCAATAACGACAGCCTCATACTCGGCCTCGTTGTTGGTTGCTTCAAACTCGAACCTGAGAGCGCATTGGATCTCTGTTTGTTTGTCAGGGCTGATGATGATGATCCCTGCGCCCGAGCCCGAGGAGGTCGATGCTCCATCCACAAAAATTTGCCAAGTGTCCAGATTAGTGCTCATGCTAGAGCTATCACCTGGCCCCCGAGGCCTAGGGGTTAGTTCTGCAATGAAGTCGACCAGAGCTTGGGCTTTGATAGATGGGTGTGGTTTGAATTCTATGTCAAATTCTCCAGGCTCGATTGCCCATTTCATCAGTCTTCCCGATACGTCCGGCTTCTGAAGTATATGCCTAAGTGGTTGATTAGTGAGCACCACAATAGGGTGAGACTGAAAATACTGCCGGAGTTTCCGTGCTGCTATAACCAAGGCAAGGGCAAGTTGTTCCGCCAAAGTATACCTTGTTTCTGCATCCAGTAGGACCTTGCTTACATAGTAGATAGGTTGCTGGACTTTGTTAACCTCTTTCACCAAGACCCCGTTGACAGTGTTTTGAGATACGGCCAAGTACAAAAATAAGGTGTCACCAGGCTCAGGCCTAGTGAGAATCGGCGGAGATGCCAATGTCTGCTTGAGCTCCTGGAAAGCTTTCTCACAGTCTTCACTCCAATCAAAGCCTTGGTTTCCTCTTAGGACTTTGAAGAAGGGATAGCACCTGTCTGATGCTCGGGACATGAACCTGTTATCTACTATGTAAGCAAGGTCCTACTGGATGCAGAAACAAGGTATACTTTGGCGGAACAACTTGCCCTTGCCTTGGTTATAGCAGCACGGAAACTCCGGCAGTATTTTCAGTCTCACCCTATTGTGGTGCTCACTAATCAACCACTTAGGCATATACTTCAGAAGCCGGACGTATCAGGAAGACTGATGAAATGGGCAATCGAGCTTGGAGAATTTGACATAGAATTCAAACCACGCCCATCTATCAAAGCCCAAGCTCTGGTCGACTTCATTGCAGAACTAACCCCTAGGCCTCGGGGGCCAGGTGATAGCTCGAGCATGAGCACTAATCTGGACACTTGGCAAATTTTTGTGGATGGAGCATCGACCTCCTCGGGCTCGGGCGCAGGGGTCATCATCATCAGCCCTGACAAACAAACAGAGATCCAATGCGCTCTCAGGTTCGAGTTTGAAGCAACCAACAACGAGGCCGAGTATGAGGCTGTCGTTATTGCTCTTGAGCTAGCCCTTTGCCTAGAGCTCGAGTTCGGCGGAGATGCCAATGTCTGCTTGAGCTCCTGGAAAGCTTTCTCACAATCTTCACTCCAATCAAAGCCTTGGTTTCCTCTTAGGACTTTGAAGAAGGGATAACACCTGTCTGATGCTCGGGACATGAACCTGTTCAAGGCTGCTATCCTACCAGTCAACCTCTGTACCTCTTTCTTGTTCCTTGGTGATTCCATAGACGCCAAGGCTTGTATTTTGTCAGGGTTGGCCTCTATCCCCCGGTGAGTGATCATGAAGCCCAAGAACTTGCCTGAGGCCACACCAAATGCACATTTTGAGGGGTTCAACTTCATTCCGTACTTTCGCAAGGTGTTGAACACTTCTTCAAGATCTGAAATATGTTGGTCCACCTGTTTGCTTTTGACCACCATGTCATCAACGTACGCCTCCACATTCCTTCCAATCAAGTTAGCAAAGACTTTGTTGATGAGCCTTTGGTATGTTGCCCCTGCATTCTTCAAACCGAAAGGCAT